GCCCTAACGCAGCAGGAGGTGGAAACGAGGCTAAGCCCCAAGGGCTAAGAGCAAAATAGTGCGTGCCAAGGGCCTAACAGGGCAAAATAGCACAGGCCACTTCCCAGGGTCGAGCCTGGGGGAGTTTGAGTTTTTGCCCAAGAAGACAGCTTTAACTTAAGTGGTCACCCCAAAGAGATACTCACCCCCTCCTAAGAAACGGTCCTTCCTGGGGAGGTGGGTTTTCTATAAACATACAAGAGCATCCCGTGAGGGGCATCAGCTATAAGCAACTGTCAAGCCCAGAAAGGACAACACGCCCGTGCAAAAGAGGATGGGTCCAGGGAGATGATTTCCAGCCCCCGCTCCTCCGCGCCCTCGGGCTGGCCTTCTGCAGCCAGAGGGGCCCGGCGACAACAGACAGGTGAGGAGGGGAGACATGGGGAGCAAAGGGCTGAGCACGGGAGGGGGGGGAGAGCATCCGCCACCCACCACTGCGGCCCCATCCGAAGGAGGGGAGGTGTGTGAACTTATTACTCTGCAGGATACACTTTAATTACTGACCTGTGACCAGCTGAGATCTACAGCTTTTTTTTTAATCTAGTACATGGGGAACCTAGAGAAACTATGGAAACATCCCACATTTTTATTCAGTACCAGGAAAGGCAAGCTCCTCTGAAGGAGTTTGGAGTTGGGAAAGAAGCGCTGCGTTGCCCTGTGAATTACTGCGCTCTTCTAAAGTACTGAGCTGCACTGGACGTGCCTAATGGCGGTAAGAAATGTAGGATTTCATCCCTCCTGTGCCTTCTTCCTCCTGTCTCTGGAGAATTTGACCCACTCCGGCGAGATGTCAAGTGTCAAATGGGCCAGGTAAGCGTTTCCCCAGCCAGGACTAGTCCTTGGAGCCATCGAGTCACGCCTCAGGGACCCCAACAGCTTCGGATGTGCAGGATGAGAGGAGCTGAGCCCGCGAAACACTGCACGCAGGGCTAGCACAGCCCGGCGACCTCATCTCAACTACCTGCCTCTGGGCAGTTAATTATATCTGGGGAACTAACTCCCCAACCTATTTCCAAAAAGGGTCCCATCCTGAGGTCCAAGGTACTGGGAACGAGGCTTCCCTACATGAATTTCGGGAGGCACCAAGTGAACCCATAACAGAAGAGAACACGCCCGACACCCGCACACGCACACACACACACACACGAGCACACATGATTCTTAGTGAACTACGGAGTTGAAAATCAGTTTTGGCAATGGTTCCAGGGATGACAAGAAGCGATTCACCGTGGGCCTCATGACAAAATAAGGAAAAGCAATCGGCAAAGCTGTTTCGGGGAGTCCGAGAGCCAGAGTGTATTTTAACAACTTAACAGTCATTCAGTGTGGCTGGCGCGGAAGGTCAGGGGGGGAGTAGGCGCGCACGAGAGAGACACAGCGAGGCAGACTTGGAAGGCCTGCCCGCCAGGCAAAGGACTGGAGCGTTATTCCTAACTGTGCCCCTCAAGTACCGCCTCCAGGTAAGACAACCGCCCAGGGCACCTCAGTGAGGTCTAGGGGTACAGCTGAAAGGGCCAGCCACCGCGCTAAGTGTCTGAAGTCTCACGGTTCATCCTAAAATGTCATCAGCATTTTGCCTCAGGCTCTGTAATTAGGTGTATTTTATTCCAGTCGTGTCCTTCCCACTTTCAAGTAAAATTTTTCTCTGGGAAATGCAGTCTCCCTAGTCTCCAGGAGTTACCCTCAGCATGTGTCTTGATACAGTTAACAGGAAGGTGACAGAATAGAAGATGTTTTCCACGTTAAAACCGACGAGGGACTGGCTAGTTTATAAAATACCGATGAACTCCTTCAAATTAGAACACAAAGTGCAACCAGCAAACACCCCATAGAAAAATGAATTTATAAATACATACTTAATAGAAAGAGGAATCCCCAAAGCTGGTAAGTATACAAAGCTTCTTCATATTCATTAAACTGTTTCTGGTGCCCTCTCCCACTGACCTATTTGTTTATTACCACACAATCACTGACTATTTCTGTTACTTTATAATTTATTTTACCATTTAACAAGATAATTCCTCACTTGCTCCCTGTTTTCAACATGGCCATAGCTATGATTACCCTTTATAATTCCAATATAAATGTAAGAATGACTTTCACAAATTCCTCTAAAAAAAAAACCATATTGAAAATATTATTGCCAATGAACTCACAGATTACTCGTTTATTTATTCAACAAACATTTGTTGAGCACCTGCCATTTGCATGAGAATGTTGAAGGCACCAGAGACAGAAAGGAACAAAATAGTTCTTTTTCTGAAAGTTATTCCTGATATTGTGGGAATGTTGTTGATTTTTTAAGTGGATATTTTATCTGTAAACCGAAATGGCAAGTAAAATGAAGGAAGCAAAGTTCCTGCAAAATATCAGCACCCAGGGCAAAGATAAGAGACGTTTCTAAGGGTCAGAGTTGTCCCTCGAGCGAGGCTAGCACGTGGGGACAGGCAAGCTCAGTCTGTAAGGGCACGTCCTACTTGTCCTCTTATCTACCCCATAGCAGCAGGGAGAGCTGGGTTCCTAGGGTAAAATGAGCTCCCAGCAAGGATAACCAGATAGGGGTTCAAAAATATAAAGAATTTAATAGGCAAGATATATAACAAAATACGCTAGGATAACAAAATTGTTTCCTGCAAGGCCCGATAAAGGAACGCTCTCAAATGCCATCAGGAGTGACAAAATTTGATTTAAAAATTCAAAAGAAAATTTAATGTTTACATAGCAGATGTCTGAGAATGATAAAAAAGAAAATGGAAAATAATTTCTTTTAAAAATCAGTAACAGTTTATCAGAGTTAAAGGTCACAATTAAAGGTCACAGTTAAATAGAAACACTGGTGGATATGTGGTCCCAGGGTCGGCATTCCTTTCCTTCAACCCCTTGCACATGTAATTCCATTATGTTCATATTTGTTTTCAAGTATCACAAATAATTTCCAACATTCAATGAAGAAAGTGATAGAGGAAGTGGGGCAGGGCTGGGTGGAGGTGCGTAAAGGGGTGGGAATGGGGGACATTTGGAATAGTGTCAATAATTTTTTTTAAAAATGATAAATGAACATTTTAAGTGACTTCTTTAGACTGCTAAAAATTCCATGATTATAGTACTAAACCAGAAGTCCTGATTCTGGTATTTAATCTTTCAAAGCTTCGTAGTTACCTTCGGGACACAGGTTGCACACTATTTTAGGCAAACCAGTGAGAAGGAGACGCCTCCAATGGAACTGGAGGAAATGTTCAAAATCTTTCACAAATCAAGTAAAACAATAAAATCAAAACTTGACAAAATTGACAAAAAGGGTGATTCAAATCTAAAAATCCATCTTATTATTAAGAGCCCCTTGAACAAAATATATCATGTGATTATCTGAAAACAAGATGAAAGAATGTTTAGTCCAATTCCACACCCATTCTTTATTCTACTTTTATTTTTTCCAGGTTTATTGACGTTTACTAATAACTAAAATTTTTATGAATTTAAGATGTACATTGTGCGATGATCACCACAATCGAGCTAATTAACATATCCATCATCTCACACGGTTACTTTGTGTGTGTGTGTATAGTGGGAACACTTAAGGTTTGCTTTCTTAGAAAATTTCAAGTACTGTATATACAATGCAGTATCCTTAACTATAGTTGCCATGCTATAAATTAGAGCTTCAGAGTTTATTCTTCTTACATAACTGAAAGTCTGTATCCTTTAATGAACGTCTCCCATTTCCTCCAGCTGCCAGCCCTTGGCAACCACCATTCTACTCTCTGCTTTTTTGATTCCACATATAAGTAAGACAATCAACTATTTGTCTTTCTGCGTCTGTCCTACTTCACCTAGCATCATCTCCTCCAGGTTCATCCATGTTGTCACACATGGCAGGATCTCCTTCTTTTTCCAGGCTATCATGCTCCATTTGCCTGTACGTCTGTTTCTTTGCTGGCACCACACTGTTTTAATTACTGTAGCTTTGTAATATGATTTTTGAAATGCAGAAGTGTGATGTCTCCCACTGTTTTTTCCTTGCTCAAGATTGTTTTGTCTGTTAAGAGTCTCTTGCGGTCCCATATAACTTTAATTACATAAAAATCAAAATCTTCAACATCACACAAAATATTGTATAGAAAGTCCAAATAAAATTACAAAAAAAAGTATCTGCAAGTCATTTTGTAGATTCTGGACTAATTTACTTAATATATATGGGAACCTATAAATTGAAATAGGATATAAAAAGATAGCTTACATAAAAGAATGTTCATACAAGAAGTTGTTCAATTTTACAGATGGTAAAAGAAATGCAAATAATAATTACAAAATACCTTTTTTAAAATTATTAGAATAGCAAAAGCTGAAAGATCCACAACATACTCTAGCAGGACTGTATTGAGACAAGCCCTCTCAGTTACTGCAGGTGTAAGTGAGAGTGCATACAGCCCCTATAAAAGCCAATTGGGAAATATCAATCAAGCTTCAAAATTCATTTACCATTGCTCCAGAAACCTCATTTCATAAAACATATTCATACACATGCTTGTATCTATTTAAAATATTCACAAGGTTATTCACTAGAGGATTATTTCAGAAGCCAAAAATTATATCTACTCAAGTTGTCGTCTATGAGGATGTAGTTAAATATGGTAGCTCTACAATGGAACACTATCAAGCTGCAAGAAAAAGATGCCAAAACTGTTCTAGTCTAGTTTACATCACTCCCAAACTCAGTGATGTAAAACAGCAATTATTTTATTATGTTTATGGATTTTCTGGGTCAAGAATTCAGAAAGGGCACAGTAAGATCAGCTTATGTCTCTTCCACCCTTTATGGGTCCTTAACTGGAAAGAATTAAAGCCTGGGAGTTAACTCCACTGCGAGAGGCTGAAATACCGGGAAGATCTGCTTACTCATGAATATGGTACTAAATGCTGGATTCTGGAACTTCAGCTGGGGCTGAAGCTGCAATACCTACCCATGGCCTGTCCCTGTGATTGCTTGGGCTTCCTTCCAGCATGGCGTCTGGGTTCCAAGAGCAGCATCCTAAAAAGAAAGCCAGGAGGAAGCTGAATTGCCTCTTTTGTCTTACCCTCGTCATATAGCACCACTTCCTCCAGGGCTACAATCCCATTCTGGTTCAAGGAGAGGGGACAGTGAATCATCTCTTGATAAGAAGACTGTCAAAGTCACATTGGAAAAAGATCAGGCAGGATGGGAAGCTATTTTGCTGCAATTTTTGAAAACTGCAATCTGCCTCGGTACATGGGAGAATGCAAAGTTAAGTCAAAAAGCAAGGTATAGAAAGGTACACGATATGCTGATATGCTATCTTTTGTGACAATAAAGGGGAGAATTAAGCTTGGATTTTTTTTAAAAACCTGGAAATATACATAAGAAACTAATAAAAATAGCTACGTTTTGTGGGGGAAGTTTGAGGCGGTTGTAGAGAAATGAGTAAATGAAACCAGGATAGAGAAATACTTCACTTCTATTGTTTTTTTAAAGTTGGGAATGTGCATCATTTGAAAAAATATGGACGGAGTCTTGAGCTGGGATGGTAAACACACAATACAATATACAGATGCTGTATTGTAGAATCATATACCTGGAAACTGTATAATTTTATTAGCCAATGTTACCCCAACAAATTTTAAAAAATGGGCCCAACCAGCATGACTCGGGGATTGAGCATCAACTTAGGATCCAGGAGATCAAGGTTCGATTCCCAGTCAGGGCACATGCCCAGGTTCGGGCTCGATCCCCAGTCAGGGTTGTACAGGAGGCAGCCGATCAATGACTCTCTCATCATTGATGTTTCTGTCTCTCTCTCTACTTCTCCCTTCCTCTCTCTGAAATCAATAAAGACATATTTTTTAAAAAAATTTTTAATAAGATTTTCATTCTTTAAATATATACCTGATAAACACACTAAAAACACACACACATGTAAACAATCCTTCCACTAAAATAATTATGTGGGTTTATGATCTTTTTAAGTTTAAAAAAGTATTTATATATGTAAGCCTTCCCTGGTACCCCTAAGCAAAACTATTTTGGGGGGGGCCCAAAAAATTTCCTCTTAAAATATTCTATTCGCTTAGAATTAGAAAATTGACTTTGCTGCATTCACGCTTTGTATGGCGGTCAGTGATGCTCACCAGGATAAGGCTCGGAATAAATTTTTTTCATTGCATTTCATTCCTCACTGTGAAAGGTAAAGTGTCAGTTGATCTTCAGTGTTTAGTAATAATATTTCTCTTTCTCTCTCTCCTTCCTAATAAGCAACATTTATGTAGTATTACCCTGAGCCTGGATATTCGCTAATCATTTCAAATGCAACATATAATTTAATCTTCACAATAACATTAGAATAAGAAGGAAATATTATTTTGTCAATTTTACAGATAAGTTTGCAAAAGACCAAAACATACACATTGCATATAATGGAGACTGTGCTTGTGAACGTTTGCTCGATTTAAGGCCTCACACTCTCGCACCTGGAGTTAACACGCATCTGGAAAACCCGTTAGCAAACCGTGAGGTCGTTTAGTTGGGGGTAGCTCTAAAATGTGCTTAAGCCTACCTCTTTGGAGATAGGAAAGGAAATTGAGGTCAGAGAAGCAAATCACCAGGCAAGCCCCACACAGCGTCCACAAGTAGAATCTAGGTCTCCTGACCCCTGGCGCGGAGCGCTTCTCACTGCGGCAAATGTCTTTCCTCAGTGGTGACAAATTCACTTGTCACCTAATAATGTGCCACAATTTCCTGTGACAGATTGTGTTCAAATCCCATCCATTTCGAGGTACCCTCACAATAGAGCTGCAATCACTGAGTGGGCGGCTGATCAGCATCACAAAGGGAGAAAAAGGGCCCACTTTCCCTCGGCTGTGAAAAGAGTTCCGATTATGCTCCTGCATTTATAAAACATTATTTATAGGTGGTGCAGGGGGCTGCCAACAAACAACCATGGAATTGGTGTGATACCTAACCCAGGAGTTCCTTTCTGTCATGCGGATGTTAAAATCTGCACAGGGGAAGGCATTTCAGGTGCTCCCACTGTCCCTGGACTTCAGGCAGGATGTCACCAGGAGCCGCTTTGACTGACTAAGGCTAACCTTGAACTTGCTTGGTGCCCAGCTGATCCTATGCATGCCAAGAGTATGCTCCAGGACATTATGCTTCATGGACATTAAATATTCATTCATGCCCTGGCCGGTGTGGCTCAGTTGGTTGAGCATCTTCCCGTGTACTTAAGGGTTGCCGGGTCCCTTCCAGGTCAGGGCACATGTTTGGGTTTCAGGCTCGATCCCCCCAGTAAGGGGCATGCAGGAGAGCGCCGATAGATGTTTCCCTCTCCCTTCTCCTTTCTCTAGAAATCAATATGAATCTTTAAAAAAATAAATATCCACTCATACTTAAAGCAAGGACTTACGAAATGCCTTCTCGATGCCCGGCACCCACTCCAGGCCAGGCTGCGGGGAGCAGAGCTGAGCCAAGCACGATCACTGGCAGCTAATCACCACCAGCGGGGTGTGTCTGGATCCGCTCATTTCCCTTGTCAGTGCCAATGCCAAATGTTAGCTACTTCATAATCCCTTGATTGTTTAATTTTAAAAAGGTGGGTTTGTGTGTGTTTTCATCTCTACTTAAGTATAATTGAAAATGATTTTTTTAAACCTCCAGTTGTAAGCCTAATATTCTCCGCGTATTTTTGTTTCCATACACTAATCATTGCTGTTGCTGAGCAGGGAAGGAAGGGGCAGCCTTCCCAAAACCAGCTCCATGTTAAAATCCCTTAGTTAGAGGAACTAGTGTTTCACCCACAGTCAAAGCCAAGTCCCCCTACAAGAGATAACCTACCTCAGATTGGAATTTAGGAGAGTTCAATCTTCAAAAGCACAATAAAACTTCATGTGTTTTATAACATTCCTATAAATACTACTGGCTTGGAGAGAAAGGAAGTAGAATTTCGTGATATCCCTCCATTGCTACAACTTTCTAACACAACCACATGGGCTGAGCTGTGTAAATAATTAACCACACCATGCTTTCTGACCCAACCGGACTTGGAAAATTGTAATTTATCAGGCATAATTAATGAACATTTCATGCTAGCAGTAATATGGTTGTAAAACCCAGTATCGCCATATGTCGTTTTTAAAGTTCAGAATCGAAAAGGGAGTAATTATTACCTAACACACAGTCAAGCATTCGCTGCATTCCACGCTCGGCAGGGAGGCTGATATTCAGGGAGATGTGTAGAGGGGCCGGTCTGCCCGGCAGCTGGGCTGGGACGGCCCTCAGGGTGCGCCGGCCCAAGGCGGGGGCGGGAAACTTGCCCTTGGATAACTAGGTGCTCAGGGAAGCAGGAAAAAACTCCCAAGAAAAAAGTAGATAATTCTTTCCTTGCCATGCCTGATGTCTAGAGGTAAAACAAGAATCACATTTAGACTCATAATATCTGACTCTAGTTCCTCTTCAGCTACATACCAACTGAGCGGCCCAGACATTAAATAAAGTGTTTAAATACTGTGTTGTACCCATGGCTAGTAAAGATTTAAGAAATGTCAGTGCCTGCTGCCTAGGAACACACTGCTATGAGGGGTTCCCAGGAGGATTTCCTGTCATAAAGACAGAGGATTGTTAATTACCCGCAGGTAATGTCATGGCTCAGAGCGTAACTACTAAAAACCTCACAAGGCAAACAAGGTCTCATCATGACATTAGGGAAACTATTCAAACTTGAATGAGCCTTTTTGATCACTAACTGTTTTTGAAACTCTAATTTTTACAAAAATGATTATGAGGTAAATGTGTTAAACATCAAATTCCATAATAAACCTTTGCACTAATTGGAAACTTCTCCTAAACTGTGTACGTATTAATCACTCTAATTTTCCCCTCTAGATAAAAATGGGCTTCTAAATTGAGAAATGATATTTGAGTCTCACTGACAACCCTACTAACCCTTCATTGAACTAAACACAAAACAAGCCCACCTCTATCTTACCTCCGCACTTAGAATCTTTAATGTCATGTATATCAAAGTCTCATCTTTGTAAATTTTGTAACACTTTACTTTTTATTTATATCTATTCGTTTGTAATATCTATCAACATATAATAAATAACATATATATACCTTTTGACATATACAGTATATATATGTATATCAAGATGGTACATATTAGATATATAAAGATACTAAACTATCTAAATCAAGGTAACTAAAGAGAAGCAGTCTCTGCCCTCTTGGAGCTTACCTCCCAGGATGTTTCTAGACGGCAGAGCAGGGAGATCTACAGAACATATTGTCAGTGTATATTAAGTGCCTTCCATCCCCGTGCCCACAGAAGTAAATTGAATTCATCCTTCAAGACCTACATTAAATGTTACCTTCTCCATGAACCCTCTCCTCATACCTGACCCAACTTGGACATGACATTTTCCTCTTTCCAGCTCCCATAACAGTTCATTATTCATTCATCTCCCTCTTCCCTCAACATGCACTTAATGAACACCTACTGTGTGCACAGAATAACCACTCAGGAGAGAGGTGCTCAGTGAATGAACCCGTGAGTGCGCGGAGGCTGGACAACAGAGTCATAGTTATCACCCACTTAGTAATGACCTGAGTGGGTGCCCAGTACCCACATGCACTTTTTTATTCCACAATAGTCCAGTGTGGCAGAGATTGCTCAAAAGACTGAGGTGATAGCAATGAGTAAAACAAAGAGAGCTCCTTGAAGCTTATATTCCAGTAGGAAAGTCAGACAATTAAAAATATATATATATGTAAAATGTAAATGAGACATTAAAACTTCCTGTTAAGTGCCCGGAGGCTATGTAAAGTGTGGTGATGGGACAGGGGGTGACAGTGATAGGATTTTAGATGGGGGATTGAATTCGAGTGCAGTTCTGAATGAAGAGAAAGAGGGAAACAGAGGACATATCTAAGGAAAAGGCCTTCCCGACACAGGGGAAAGTACATGCAAAGTCCCCGAGGC